ATTTGGAAAAACGTTCCTCTTAAAATAAATTTAAATTAAAAAAAAAAATGATTTATTAGATTCTTACTCTGGTATTGATCCCGATAAATATATCAGGGGATTTAGTAAATCCAACGGATTAATTATTTCCGTACGAATTCCTAATTCGCTTTTAATTATAATTGCTTTTAACAAAAAATCATTGTCGATTTCTGTTGTGGAATCTATTGATGTAATTTTTTCAATTAAACTCAATGGGAAATTAATTACGCAGAGAGCACAACTTTCCATAATCTAAAATTTTTTATTTAATTTATTTATTAAAAATCAAAATAAATAAAATAATTAAATCCGATGGGAACTTACTTTATGCTCAGCAGGAATCATTTCTATAACATTTTTCAAAAGATTTTGAAATAATGTTCTTTGCTCACCATTTAAATCATCCTTATTCAAAGTTACCGTTAAGGATTTTAAATTTTTTTCAAGGTACGTGCTGTCGTCATTTTCTAAAGCGAGTTTAACACATAAATTTAAAGTGTTTTCCATAAATTTTTTGAGTGTATTATATGAAATGGCTTGATACAAATATGAAATTTTATTGTATAAAAATGATATTTCATCCAACTAAAAAAAAAAAACGAAGCTTTATGATGTAAAACTTTTTGAGAAGCAGTAATTTATTGAAATCATTTATTTACCTTTTCCCAATTCCAGGTTGTATCAATAAAGTAATTTTCTAGCAAAGCTTTGGCTGTTGGTGAAGAAGAACCTTGTTTTAACAATAAACCTAAACTGTGCAACAAATACTCATCACCTAAAGACATAAAATGAGTCATGAAGTACCAATTTAACGGTGGTAAATTTTTACAATACTCCTGAGATAATACATAAATAATTTCTTTAATGTACACAGGCAAATCTGTAGACTTTTTTTTTGATTGTTTTATTAGTGTGTCCATTAATATACGGCATACACTTTTTTGAGAAAGATAGGAATAACTTGTGGGTTCTGGTTTTTCGGGGGGCCAATAAAAAACTCCTCTTGGCATTGCGTCTAATTCTCTACTAAGAACAGCAGTTATTAAAATAATTCCTTTTTTACTATTATTTTGTTCCATATTTTTTAACAATTCCAACCAGCATTCGGCTAAAAATATGAAAAAAAAAAAAAAAAAAAAAAAAACTTAATATAATAATTAAAAAAAAGGAATAATAAATTTTAATATAATAATAATAATAATAATAAATTTTTTCTAACCTGGTACGTAATTAAGTTCTGTCGTATCCATTTCTGAATCAATTGAATTACTTAATGTGTTTTTTGTATATTTAATATCAGTATTTTCTGAATTAAGTTTCGACGATTTTATATCTTTTTTATAAATCTCAGGAATTAATTTCAATTCAAAATTTTCAATTTCGAATTTTGATAGAGCACGAAAAGCTTCCTCTGCAATTTCATCATTATTTAAAAAAGTAAAATTCCAAAGGAGGGGTATAATATCTTCTTTAAGCTGATCAAATTTTTTTTCAGGAATATGTATATTAGGTATTTCACCAAAGAAGCTACACAATGCTTTAATAACTTTTGGCCTTTTATCAATGCTTAATTTAGGTCGAATAGCATCCCAAGTACCTAAATATTATTATCATTATTGTTTTATTTTATTTCAATTAGCATTAAAAATATTTAAATAAATATTTTTTATTTTACCCGAAATATCTATTACACAAGCTTTACAAAGTTCGATGACTGCTTCAATGGATAAGGCGGAAGCAGAACCGTGAACTTCATCTTCAGATTCATTAAGTATTTTACTTAATAAACCAATAACACTTTTCCCGTGAAAATGAGGAGCTACGCAACAAATTTCTTTTAGAGCAATGGCTTTACTTAAATTTAATTCCAATTTCAAATTTTCTGAAGGGTATTCGTGCAGCATTTTGTGTAAATATGAATACGTTCGATTATCTACTTTCCACAATTTTAAATAAAGTTGAATAATTACAGGAGTCATAATTGTTGAATTTCCCTTTTTTAATGATTCTATTATTCCAATTATTAAAGGAATGTTTTCCTGGAAATATTAAATGAAATAAAATTTATTATAATTTTTAAAGTTTTAACTTATTCACTAACCTTTTGAACAGCCAAGGATGGTAAGCAAAATAAATATTTTTTTTGCATAATAGGATGAGATTCCTTAACGAGTTTGTGAAATAATAGGCACAATAATGAAAATGATATATCTTTATAATAACTCATTATATCAAATAGTATATCCAAAGAAATTTGTATTATATTTTTATTATTTTCACAAAGAACTATGCCAAAGAGGAATGTGTGTAATTGGAATTGAACCTCTTTCTTATTTGAATTTTTTAAATTTAATAACCATTTGTGTAACGATTCAATACTGTTATTCCAATTATTGCTGATAATTATACAATCCAGAGCAAATTTAATATTCATATTGTTACATCCAAAATTTTTAAAGTACTCATTTCTCAATAATTCACTAGTTTGATCGTTCCAATCTTCGATATTTTTTCCTACAAATGTAATTATTTCTTCGACAATTTGAATATTTCCATGACATAAACTAGATGGATTTATAATCCAATTTAAAGCAACAGCTATAAATCTATGGGCAACATATTTATTACAAGAAGCACTACAAATTATTGATTTACCTATAAAAAACATTATTTAAAAATGAAATTAAAAAATAATCAAATTATTAAAATTAGTAATAAGTTAACATAATCATTATTTTTAAAAATTGGGAAAAAACGAGAAGACTAAAAGTCGTTGAATTATTTAATGAAAACATTTTTTTTTTTTTTTTGGCATTTTAAATTAAAATTTAGCATAATTGAAATTTAATAAGTACAAATATATGTTAGCTACTTACAAATAGACATTAATTCATTTATATAACATGATGGAGTATCCAATATTATATCTGTTATTATAAATAAAACAAGACTCAAAGCTGTGTGAGAAGTTTCAATACAAGTTTTTAACAAATTAATCCAACAAGTCGGATTGTAACCATTCAGTATAATCCACTTTATTGACTCAGCTAAGAAAGGAATCAAAGCTGAGAGAATTAATTTACTTTTTGGATTGACATTATTTAATAAAAAATTAAAAACATCTTGAAGAATCAAACAGTGTTGCATGTCAATATTTTGCCACATTAAAACTTCTAATAAAGCATTTAAAAATTTATCTGAAGTACTGTGAATTAATAAATTTGCAATTTTTATTTGAAATACAGATTCTTTCCACTCAGAATTCCAGAAAATATAACAAATTACAGGATGAATTATCATTAGCTTGTGCTCTATTTTACTGAAAAAAAAATAATAATGAATTAAGCAAATAAACAAAATAAATTGAAAAAACATAAATTTTAATTTAAAAATATAGTTTAATTTATTTTCTTACAAGTCATCCTGAGAATGAATTAAATTATAAATAAATAAATATACATCATGCCAAGTTTCTTTTCCCTTATATTTTAAAATCATAACCAATGGATGTTGAAATTTATTTTTACTGTAATTACATTTATATGATTGATTATTTTGTAACTGCTTTTTTATATCTAATAAAAGTAAGTTTCCAATAGTGGATATTAAAGCATTATAATGAGTGACAGACGGTAATAAAGATATTAAAGTAGATATTGTTTGAGTTCCGTTTAATATATTATTAGCAACCAACTTGTTAATTCCATGAAAAGCAGTTGCAGATATTATTAAATTTTTATCACAACATTTTTCCTTTAATTTTGTAAGTTCTTTACACTATAATAAAAAAATTAAACTATACCAAAAATTAAATTTTTTAAAATTTGTAAAAAAAAAAAAAAAAAATTATTTTTACCTCTTTTGAATTAATTTTATTTGAAAAATTTTTTTCAATATTTCCAATCAAATCTGATAATTCCTAATTTAAAATAAAAATTTAAAATTTAAGTAAATGCGCCAAAAAAAAAAAAAAATACCAAAAACAATAATATTTCAAAAAATTACAAAAGTTCAATAAATAGTTATTGTAAATTAAACTACATTACCTATTTTTCGAGCCTTAAAAATAATAAAATAAATAAATAAACAAATGTAAAATAGTTTAAAATTATTAAAACTCTTACTCACCTGAGAAATTACAGAAGCGGTTTTATTAGATAAAATTTTTTCAGTACTCATATTTTGAAAAATTTCATTTCTTTTTAAAATAAACTTATGTTTACAAAAAATAATAATAATAACAATAAGTGATTTGGCATCGTCTCGAATAATTTCTGCTGACACTTTTTAGCGGGATTTTTTAGTTCATCTTTTCTATTACAGTTAGTTGTGCTTTTCTTTTTATTAGTTTTTTTTTTTTTTTAATTTTAATGTCATGAGTGAAAATCAAGCCGCACTTAATAATGTCTCTTTCGATGCCTTACCTTTTTTGCCCAAATCTTTGCATTCTAGTATGCTTTGTGCTATTTTAATTTGCTCAGGTAATTTTACTTAGAAAAGTATTTTAAAAACTAAAATTTTTTGAAAAATATTTTATTGTAAAATATCCTTTCAGACGATGTAGATATTGCATCTTGTCATTCTAACGGTTACTTATACGAATTAAAAAATAAAAATATACTGGGAAGTATTTATGTTCATGAAAATGAAATAACTAATTTATCTGTAACGTACTTGTATGAAAATAACCTTAAAGTAAAATATTACACCATTTCTACTGGGGACCGTAAACTTGTAATTGTCAAAAGTAATGGTTTAAATTTTCAGGTAAAAAAGTAAAAAAATTTTTTTTAATTATACACAAATAGGCAAAGTTGTAACTATTTAAGCAGGAAACTTCTGATTTCGAATGTCTGAATTAAATTATTTCTTTTATATTTAATAAGAAGTAAAATGCCCTTAATTTTTAATGTGTGATATTGTATTATTTTATTAGGATGTATTTTTGTTAAGCTTATTGTAATATTTTGACTCAATGATTTTATGTCTTATCAATGTTTTCTAAACTTTTTTATTTAGTGATACATAGTCATTAGAAAAATTACTATTTAATGTACCCTAAATACATTTTATACAAATTTTAAAAAAACAAAAAAAAAATTGATAATGATTACTCGATTAAAAATAATTAGTAAATCTAAATTTGAATTTTTAATTTTAGATCATCACAAGTTACAGTGATGTCTGTAGTTATAAAATTTTTGATTTTCAAGGGCTTGGATTCCCTCAAATTGAAATAAAATTTCTTGAATCTTTTAGTGATGACATATTTAATTTTGCTGATGAAAGAATTTCTGAAAATTATTTTGATAGGAAATGTTTGAAAAATACTAAAGATTCAATTGAAGCTATTATTTCTACTAAAGAAAGTTTACAGGTTTGATTTCTTTAATTATTTTATTTGATTATCTTTACTCGAAAAAAAAAAAAAAAAATTTTTTTTAAATCTTTATGTTTTATTCTTTACTTTTGTAAATAATTTTTTGCAATATTAAAAAAGGTATATTGTACTTTTAGATGGTGTATATGTCTATAGAAGAATTATTTACTGAATTCATTCAGTTATCAGAAATTTGCAATAATACTAGCAAAAGTTATTTAGATAGTTTTAAAATTTCAATAAATGTTGATAAAACTATTTTTAGATTGTGTAATAATTCTAAACCTGAAATTGAAGCAGTTTATTATCAGTATAAAAGTTTTGGAAAGTTTTGGATTTTTAAAACAAGGATAGTTAATCTTAGTGATAGGTATTTACTTAATGTTTATTATTAAAATTTTATAAAATAAAACAAATATTATTTTGTTAGTTTATTAAAAGTTAAATTTTTATTAATTAGGTCTTTGGCAAATTTCCATCTTGTAATCCGCCATGAAAAACTTATAAAATATAATTATTGTTTTTTTGAAATGCCTGACATTGCAAAATGGCCTTCTCAAGTTCATAATATTATTAATCCAAATGAAGAACTATTAATTGTTGGTAAGTTTTTTAAACATGGTTTTTTTTTGTAATAAAATATGTTTAATCAAACTGACATTGGTATACAGTAGCTAACTTAACGAAAAGAAACAATTTTTGAAATTCTTTATTTTTCTTTAGTTTCTTTTAAATAATATTTTATTAATATGTAAATGTTAGATCAATTTTAATTATATTTTATTGTTTTGTTATCCTAGGCGTGGCGCAATTTTCTGAATTTGATGTAGAATCAAAAATTTCAGTTGAATGCTTGCTAAGCTACTCAAATGGGGATAAATTAAGTTTGTGTAAACATGATATAGAAATATTGTGTGCATTTAACGAAAATAAAAGTATATTTGAAGGTAGTTTTTTACAAAAAGTTTTACATAATTAAATTACTTGTTTTGTTTTTTTTTTTTTCGTTTAATTAATTGTGATTGATAATAAATGCGAAAATTGCGAAAATGGCGCATTAAATTAAATTTTTTTTATTTTAGATGGCGATGCAGAAATAATTATAACGTCTTATAAAAAAGTTGTTTTAATTCTTAGTACGGATACTGATGATAACAATTTACTGGAATCAATTTTAATTAGACATTTATTTTTTGTTAAAAAAGAATATAAAAACAAAAATTTTTTTTACCATTCTTTGAATGAAATTGGAGTTCTTCTTGAAATGCTGCCGAACGCATCACAAAAATGGAAACTAGACATTTACTCAAAGTAAACCAATAGAACTTTTTTTTTTTTAAAAAAGAATTTTCAAAAATTATATTATTTAATTTTTTTTTTTTTTTTTTAGTGATTATAATAATGTCTACATCTTAATTAATGCTTTATATGATGTTTTGCCGGAAAATACAACAATTTTATGTTGTGATGATGAAAAACTGGAAAGTTCTTAGCGGTAAGTAAAACACTTTTTTTTAAATAAGACAAAGCTCTATTAAGTACGTCTTTATTATTACATCTAAAGGTCTATAAACAATTGAGCAATTATTTATAATGATTTTTTTTTTTAAAATTTACGGTCTGACCATTATCGGTATGCAATGCTTTTCGGTATCAGAATTCACTTCCACATCAGATAACTTTAGAGAATACATATAATTTTGAGAATTTTGTTCGTCATTAAGACTTGTATCATTCATTTTTTTAAAATTTCCATAAAAAAATGAGTCAGTAGCTGTGCTTTCTGCTCCAGATTCGCTTGCTCCATCGCATAAAGAATCTTCCGTTTCACTGTTTTGCCCTCCGTAAATTTCGGTTTTTTCAACCGTTTTCGAATCGCAAGATGCTAAAACACCTTGTGGACAATACGATTCACTGGAATCCGTGCTTAAGTAACCGGAATCGTCCAATCTATTTAATGCTCTGTTTTTTTCTAATTTTTTGTCACTATCAAGTATTCTTTGGCTTTGCTGATGAGACGCAGCAGTTTTTTGTGCATCTATTTTACTACAATTTTTAAATGAAGACTCTTTAGAAATGTCGTCGTTCATTAAAATATCCGGAGACTGAGCAGAATCGTTTAAATTTTTTACCCGAAGACTGCTTTCGTTGTTATTATTATTATTTTCTTCGTACGGCATAGTGTAAAACGATTCGTATTCTGAAGAATTCAGGCTATCCGTCGATGCACCTGATGCAGTTGATAAATTGTCTATTTCTTTACAAGAAGGTGATGAATTTTGATGTGACTGTTCGGTCACTGGAAGAGGTGGAAGAGGTCTCGTTGCTAGTTTACTTAAATTTGATTTGTTTTTATTGTTTTTTGAATTTTTGGGCGGAAGAGGTGGTTTTGAATTTCTCGGTGGAAGTGGTGGACTATTACAAATTAATAGTTTGGGCGGTCTTGGAGGTACGGGAGAAAGTGACAGAAGAGGACGGGAATCAGAGGTTACAAAGGAACCAGTTATATGGCATCTACTTCCGCAATTTTCTTTGCAATGAATTCTACATATGGTATTATGAGTAGTGTTGAAAAAATTAGATATGGAAGACGTTTCTGATCTATCGTGATATTGTGTTAATTCCGGAGATACCGGAAGCGATCTTGGAGGCGGTATTGGTGGCATATCTAATTCTTCATTTTGTTCGTTCGTAGTTTGCGTAAGAGAAAAAAAATTTAATGGTTTCGGTGATATTGTTTGAGATCTTGAAGAAGGAGAAACTGATCTGGATCTTGGAATCGGCATTGGTTTGGGAGGTCTCGAAGGGACTTTATCTGAAAGTAAACTTTTCGTGCTGATGGATTTTTTCTTAAAGAATCTATCCTTACGCCTCGCACAAAAATCATCATCAATGTGCAAAATAATTCCTCTGTGCAATAATTTATTTCTTCTTTCTTCTCCCCATGACAAAGTTGAAAAACAATCAGGGTCACTATTCACCGAATCAATCAAGCTCGTAGTTTCCGTTCTTCTTTTGTGATTTCTGCTTTTAGCCTCATAAATTTCCCTCAGCGATCCAAAATTTTCCATTCTCGCCCTATTTAAACTTCTAAAAAGTTCATTAACATCTTTTTCCAAAGTGTTTCTTTCAAAACTCCCATTCGTTTTCAACATAATAGTCGGTCTTTCCAATGAATCGGTAAAATTTTCATCGTTATTCGAAGTTTCAGACTTTGAATTTAATTCAATGTTGTGAAATTTTCGATTGGCGTATATTTCTTTTTCATCTTCATTACCATCGATTTTTTGCACTAATTTAGATTTCCTTTGTTTTCGTTCTAACGTGTCAGGTTCAAAATTATCTGATTCGCTTATAAATTCCCCATATAGGTTCGATGAATCTTTTACTTGTATTGTTAAACGACCTTGTTTTTCGTTGACAACTTCATATTTAATTTTTTCACTTTTATTGCTCAGAGGAGAGGAACTATTTCTAGAAAATTCACCACTGCAAAATCCAAAATCATCATTTACGTAAACTTCACTAACGAAACTGTAACCTTCATTTTTTTCGTTTTTCATTAAAATTTCCTGGGGAAAAGTTTTGGGTTTTTCTGGATTTTTTTCATTTTCCGATTTCGAATCCGGATTCAGCAAAATTATTTCATATTCGTGATCATCTTGAACTCCATCGCTTGAGTTGTCTTGTCTTGTTTCAGGTATTTGAATTAAATTTTTATTATTTACCGTATCATTGTCCAAATCGATTTCTGTTTTTTCAAAATTCTTTTTTAAACAATCATCATCAATTTGAGCGTGTAATTGATTTGTCGTTTGAGTTTGTACAAGCTTTGAATTTTTATCATTTTTCTTGTATGTCGTTAATTCTTGAATAACGGCATCCATTAAATTTTTCGGAGCGTTCGATTGAGCAATATTATTATTTTTAAAATTAACATTTTCGTTTTGTTTTATCTTTAATAATGGCAAAGGTGGCGGACAAGGAGGATGTTCAGTTGATGGCATGGAACCTATCTCTCGATCTTTCGCTCCGTTAATATTTTGTATCGCATTTTCATTTTCATTTTTCTGACATTTACCTTTTTCTACGTTTGAACTAATATTCGTTTTATTCAAAGAAGTTTTTGAAATCTGAGGTGGAAGAGGAGGAGGCCTATTTTTCGTCGACGGTCGTTTTTTATTTTGTTTTATTGTTTGCGTTTCCTTTGACGTTTGATTATTTAAAGCATCGTCACCGAAACAGTAATTTGGTTTCTTTAAATTTTTACTATTTTCAATAGTTTTTCCTGTGCTTTGTGTTGTCGAATTTTTATTTTTCTCATCCCTTTTGACTACCATTACCGGTACGTCTTCCAACCATTTTTGAATAATTTTTTGTTTTGAATCTGACGAGCAAGAATTGTCTCTCGATGAATTAAAATTACGATTTATCAAATCTACACTTTCCGTTTCCTTGTAAGGTTTTTGAAACTCGGAATTTATAATATTTTCATTAAAACTCGACATTGAACGATGGAAATTGTTGTTGTTGGTTTCTGTTTTCAAACTTACATCTTCCTCTGGAATTCCTAAAAGACTCGGAGAAAACTTTTTTATTGACATTTTGTGTTTGGCAATGGCGATAACTTCACGAATTTTGTCTAAAAATTCTAATGCTGCTGGAGGTGGTGCCTGAAAAAAAAAATTAAAATGATTAAAGTTTCAGTTTAAATTCGTTCAATCGTTGAAATTTCCCTCAATTATTTTTATTTCTTACTTTTAAAAGTTCAGGTTCAAAATATGAGGGATTAAAATAAAGTTTTCTTCTCCCATTACTCGATGCAATAGCTTTCATCGTTTCAGAATGTGCTTCTTTCGCTTCTAATGTTTCTATTATCGATACGTTTTCTTCAGGAAGTCTTTCTATACTGTTTGGATCTTGATTTAATAACGTCTCTCCATAGTCCAAGTTGCAAGGATGAATTATTGCAGAAGTTTGAACCTTTAAAAACATTTTTATTTATTTATTTTCGGTTTTCCCCCCAAAAAAATAAAACCTTTGTAGGATTGCCCTTACATTTTGATGTGACGTCAAATCTTCATCTAAGCATAAAAGATCAGATACTTGGTCTGGATCTGAACTACAGCTATTCGAATCTGTTATATATCCTACGTTATCTTCGGCGCAAACTCCCAAGTGTCTACTTGCCTGAAGAAGTGGATTACTTTTTATGATTCCTAAAACGTTGATAAAATTTTATTTTAAAAGAAATTTTTCAAAACTTTTATATAATTTTTCATTTCTAAAATATAAATCATCACCTTCTTCTCCCAATGTTATGTGAGCATCTCCTCTTTTTCTCAAATTTGTTTTCTTTTCTTTTTTTGCACGTCTATGCATGTAAAAAATAATAGAGGCAACATAAACTATTGCTAAAAATAATGAACAGAGTCCGATGGCTACGTATTCTCTCACACTTAAACCGCCACCGTTTGATTCCGAACGAACATCTGGTGAAAACATTACTTCTCTTGCATCTAAAAAAATTTTTACAAGAAATTATTGTTTGTTGTGTTTTATGTTTTATGTTGTGTTTGTATGTTTTGATATAAACTTACTTGGATTGCCTGCAACACGAAATGCTACACAGGGTGTAAATATTTTTGGCTCTTCTGCGATGCTAGCATCTTTGCACATTAAATGTACTAAAATTATTTTACCTTCCATAGCCATCCTCATCGAGGTTTCGCCAAACCACTTGGAAAAAAAACAAATAAAAAAAAAATTTAAACAAAGAAAGGTTTTATTTCCATCAAGGAAATTTTTAGTTCATAACTTTTATTTTATCTCTTAAATTCTTCTTTTTCTCTTTTTTTTACCTGTAAATATGTTCGGCCTTCGTCTCTAAATAATCTAAAAGGTGGTTCAGTGTTGGTATTGTTTCGTAAATTTAACCACCCGTTTCGGCCCAGAAATTGTCCTCCGGATACCACACAAACTGGAGTTCCATTTTCTTTAAAAAAAATTAAACTTAGTATCATAGCAAATATCTAATAATTAATAATAATAATAAAATTAAAAAGAAAAAACCGTTATTAATTAAGAAAACCGTAATTAAGAAATCTTGTCGTAAAAATAGTAATAATAATAATAATAATAATAGCTTTTTACCTGACGCAACAATATCTGCACTGGGATTGACGATTTGTCCTTTTAATGGTAAAAATACGTAGGGTATTCGTTTAC